ACAGAATTTGGAGTGTACTATTGCTTCATGAGGTGCTGAAGGAGTTTCTCTACATGGACAAAGAAATACCATTTTAAATCTCTCATAAAAGGACATTATGTGAGTTGATGAAGTTCAGCCTATGATTGTGTCTAATGATCAGGGTGTTCTGTCACGCGCTGGGCCTGTAATGAATTGCTTTTAAAATAGGACATGAACTTTTGCCCAGCGGGAAGCCAGGGGTCCCCGAAGAGAAGTTCTCAAGGATTTTCCACCACAAATGGTCTTTAGATGGCTTGTGAAGTATAACAAAGTCCTTTATTAATGAACAATCAAACAGAAACTTCTCTTGTCTTCAATATAGTTAAACAAATGCTTCCAGGCTTTATGCAACTGGTGGCTTCCTTAATCTTGTCCACGAGGGACAGGCAATTGTCTTTAATAACTGATTCTTTACTTTAAAGGAAAATCCCCTTTTTAATCTCCCAGGATGACTGTAGTCTAAGCCTTACTGATGTGTGCTCCGCTACCGGGTAGAACTGCGTCTCGAGCACCGAGTGGACCTACCAGTAAAGCCAGTAGATTCTCCAGCTGGAGTTCTTTGTTCTTCCAAACTGTTTAACCTCCGAAATTTCTCAAAGCTTTAGGGCTGTTTCCCTGGAAATCTTTGGAAATCTTTGGATGCTCTTGAGACTGTTCTCCTCCAGAAAGTATTATGGGTTGAAGCTTTTGTACAGGAGAAGCTTGTACACGTCCTCTAAATTAGCTTTCCTTGCTGAGACTAACTAAAAATGGCTCCCTTCCCTTCCCAATTGCCCTGAACAAGGGGCGGAACCAAAACTTAACAATGATGGACAGGTGACTTGTCCTACGACTGCAACCAAAGGAAGCCACTTTTCTGCAGAATCCCTGAAACCTTGGACTGCAAGCAAACATTTAATACAAAGCAAATAAAGTTGGAGTTCCTGGTACAGCCATACCAGCACACAGGGTACTCTGGATGCTAGGAGTGACAATGAGATCCATGTGTCTAATGATGAGGTTGCTCTAGATGCAGAGAATGACAACAGGATTCCTGTTCAAAGTGATTTTTCTGATAATAATGTTCCTGAAGGGTTTGGGGATGATGGTCTGTTCCCCAGGCCTGAATTGCTACCTGAGAATTCCCAAGGCTCTGAGCCTGAGAAAAGCTCAGCACCTGGACTAGCTGCAGAAATCAATAAGCCAGTAGATAAGAGAAATGCTTTCAGTCAGCAAAAACAAACAAATCAGGCCCTCAAGCGCTCTGCCAGATTGCGAGAGAGATTGATAACAGAGTCAAGGCTGAAAAGCAATCCATTCCTGGCCACTTGGGATATAGAGTAGATTAGGGGATAAAAGTGCCAAGTACAGAATCTGTAGCCAGACGAAGCAATGTTGGAATTGAGTCAAAGCATCGTCTTAGGTCTCTGGAAACCTTGCCTTGGATAGATTCCTGTGCTAAGTGCCTTGTTTGATTCATGTTCAAGTTTTGAGGTTTTACTTTGGAAGTTTCAGCATTTGTTTTCATGAACTCTGATGGACTAATTTCCTGGACTATTTGTTTCTATCTGTCTTTCTACCTAATTGGATTTACCTGTTTTTGTGGATTGCTTTTTACTGCTACTGCTTTTAAAATATCTTCAATAAACTACTTGCATTTTTACTCAGCTGTATGATGTTTAAAGTCAGAGGGCTTTCCTGGCCTGGAGTGCAACAGTTGTATTGAATTACAAAGAGTAATTTCCTTGTTTTTTAGTGTTCATCTGAATGGCATATTTTCTTTATCTGGCAAGGCAGTGTGTGGGCAGATCAAACGTGAACTACGTGTGGTTTATTTTCAATTACACCACACAACTCCCTTCTCCCAACAGATGGCCATCCAACCTCTGCTTGAAAACCTCCACAAAAGGAGACTCCACCAGACTTCCAGGCAGAAGCAGATTCCACCATGAAACAGCTTTGACAGTCAAGACGGTTTTCCTAATGTTTCGGTGGAATCTCTTTCCCTGCAATTGCTGGAGCTCAGCCTGTGCTTGTGTTTCAGGATCAGGGTGCTTTGGATGTGGGGAGTGATGTCAATGAGGTTCACAATGAGTTTCAAGATGGCAATGGTTTGGTCAGTGATACTGATGCAGAGAATGACCAGGAGATCCTTGATCAAAGTGTAGTTTCCCATGAGAATGTCCCTGAGGGTTGTGCCTTCTGAATTGTTACAAGAGAGTTCCCATGATGAAAAACATGAAAACAGCTCGGCACCTGGCCCAGCTGCAGAAGATAATGAGCAAATAGATAGACGAGAGGAGATCAGTCAAAACAGGAGAGCCGAACAGTGGATTCAGCATTCTGCCAGGCTCCGAGAGAAAAAGATATGAAATTCTCATCTAAAGCAAAACCAATTTCTGAGCACTAGATACATAGTTAACGAGGAGATAAAAGTCCCAAGTACAGGATATGTAGTCAGATGAGGCATCGTTTGGAATCAAGTCAAGATTTTGTCCTTGTTTCTTGGAAGCTTTGCTTGGAAATTTCATGTCTTAAGTGCCTTGGTTTCATGGTTTTGATTCTTGGCTTCTATGCTTTTATATTCATGCCTTGGATTCATGTTTCCTGATTTCTTGCATTTTATTTGGAAGTTCTGACTTTGTTTTTATGGACTTTGCTGGACTATTACCCTGGACTACTTTGCTCCTGCTTATCTTCCTACCTCATAGAATCATAGAATCATAGAATCAAAGAGTTGGAAGACACCTCATGGGCCATCCAGTCCAACCCCCTGCCAAGAAGCAGGAATATTGCATTCAAATCACCCCTGACAGATGGCCATCCAGCCTCTGCTTAAAAGCTTCCAAAGAAGGAGCCTCCACCACACTCCGGGGCAGAGAGTTCCACTGCTGAACGGCTCTCACAGTCAGGAAGTTCTTTCTCATGTTCAGATGGAATCTCCTCTCTTGTAGTTTGAAGCCATTGTTCCGCGTCCTAGTCTCCAAGGAAGCAGAAAACAAGCTTGCTCCCTCCTCCCTGTGGCTTCCTCTCACATATTTATACATGGCTATCATATCTCCTCTCAGCCTTCTCTTCTTCAGGCTAAACATGCCCAGTTCCCTAAGCCGCTCCTCATAGGGCTTGTTCTCCAGACCCTTGATCATTTTAGTCACCCTCCTCTGGACACATTCCAGCTTGTCAATATCTCTCTTGAATTGTGGTGCCCAGAATTGGACACAATATTCCAGATGTGGTCTAACCAAAACAGAATAGAGCATGGGGAGCATTACTTCCTTAGATCTAGACACTATGCTCCTATTGATGCAGGCCAAAATCCCATTGGCTTTTTTTGCCGCCACATCACATTGTTGGCTCATGTTTAACTTCCTGTCCACGAGGACTCCAAGATCTTTTTCACACGTACTGCTCTCGAGCCAGGCATTGTCCCCCATTCTGTATCTTTGCATTTCATTTTTTCTGCCAAAGTGGAGTATCTTGCATTTGTCACTGTTGAACTTCATTTTGTTAGTTTTGGCCCATCTCTCTAATCTGTCAAGATCATTTTGAATCCTAATTGGATTTACCTATTTCTTTAAAGTGCTTTTTACTTTACTGCTTTTTAATTACCTTCAATAAAAGGACTGTTTCCCTATCTAACGGTGTGGTGGGCTTTTCCTGTCCTGGAGTGCAACAGTAATTCGGATCCATGTCTCCATTGTGTCCTGGTCTCTGGAGCAACAAAAAACAAGCTTTCCCATTTCTCCCAAATGCGGAATCCTTTCTAATATTGTCACCTGGCTCTCCTGTCTTCTCCTCTCAACCTTTTCTAAGTTCTCTTTCAACCTCACCTTGCAGACTCCTTAATCTCCTTCCCATTCTCTGGATTTTCTTACCTGGTCCGTAGGCTTTGGCTTTCTTGGGGTTGAGCTGCTTAGAGCGCAGGGGGGCTCCAGGCTTGAGCTTGGCTTTGGGGAACTGAGACAGGTAGGTCATGACCGAGTGCTCATCCACATTGGGGTCCACAATCTCCTCTGGGGCAATCACCTGCCAAAAGGAAGGGCAGTCGTTTATACACTATGCAACACGATTTCTGTTCCTGGGTTATCCATGTCAGTTCCCAATTGGTTCCATCATAAAATCATGGGGAATGTTTATTAAACTGCCACAACTTTGTTTTGTGGGATTGACATCCGGCTATAGCACATTTTGCTCTCATTTTCCAATAAATCGAGTCTCAAAGAATTCAACATAGTTTTTGTCACAAAGTTTCTGGAGTAAGTCAACTACTTTCAAAGTAAGGACTGCACAATTAAACAGGAAATAACACTTTCAACCAGGAACATAAATAAAGTTGTGTTGTTGTTGTTGATGTTATAACATAATTTTTTCAAACTTTGTATTGTCGAAGGCTTTCATGGCCAGAATCACTGGGTCATTGTAGGTTTTTTCGGCCTATATGGCCATGTTCTAGAGGCATTCTCTCCTGATGTTTCGCCTGCATCTATGACAAGCATGTTACATAGTGAAATCAGAGGTTGAACCAACAATGTAGATTTAATGCAGTTTGGCACCAGTTGATGAACTGCCATGGCGATGGAATCCATAGAGTTGGAGCTTGAGAAGACTCAAGAATTGGAAAACTCCAGCTTTCGGGAGCCCTGGTAGTTCAAATGGTGTCAAACTGCATTAATTCATCAATGTAGATGTAGATGGCACCTTAAAGACCGGTGCTTAGATACAGGAACAGAGCATCAACTGATGGGCAAGTTACCAATGGCTGGGGGATTCTGAAATATGTAATCATAGAAACATAACATCATAAATTTGGAAGAGACTTCTAAAGGCCATCCAACCTCCTTTCTGCCAGGCAGGAGGACACAATCCAAGCCCTCTTGAAAGATGGTCATCCAACCTCTGCTTATAAACCTCCAGCAAAAGAGGTTCCACCAGACTCCCAGGCAGTAGCAGATAGAGAATGTTTAGATGGAATCATAGAATCATAGAATCAAAGGGTTGGAAGAGACCTCCTGGGCCATCCAGTCCAACCCCATCCTGCCAAGAAGCAGGAATATTGCATTCAAATCACCCCGACAGATGGCCATCCAGCCTCTGTTTCAAAGCTTCCAAAGAAGGAGCCTCCACCACACTCCGGGGCAGAGAGTTCCACTGCTGAACGGCTCTCACAGTCAGGAAGTTCTTCCTCATGTTCAGATGGAATCTCCTCTCTTGTAGTTTGAAGCCATTGTTCCATTGCGTCCTAGTCTCTCTCCAGGGAAGCAGAAAACAAGCTTGCTCCCTCCTCCTCCCTGTGGCTTCCTCCCACATATTTATTATCCCTTCCCTACAGTTTGAATCTATCACTGCATGTCTCTTTTTCCTCTCCTCTTTTTGGGGAGAAAGCACAGCTCTCCTCCAAGTGTCATCCTCAACCCCGCTTTACCTGTGGCACTCCCAGCCAGTCGTCCGCTTGTTGCATGGCTTCCCGGGCATTTTCCACCGGCTGGTTGGGGTCCCAGGTCTCCCAATCAGGGCACAAACCTGTCGAAAGAGAAAGGAAATGGGGTCATATCATAACATATAGCACAAACATTGACTTTGATGGGATTGCACAGCCTGCCAGAATAATGAGATATTATTATTATTATTATTATTATTATTATTATTATTATTATTACCTGTCCACTTCCTGAACAAGACTCAAATGTGGAAACAATTGGCACTTTGTGGATATTATTATTATTATTATTATTATTATTATTATTTATACCCCACTTGTCTCTTCCAAAGGAGACTCAAAGCAGAAATGATTGCCACTTTATGGGTGCCATTGGCATCGTTTCCCAAACTATTGTTGTTGTTGTTGTTACTGCTGTTGTTACTCACACTCCACTTTCATCTCCCAAACAAGAGCCAAAGAGGGTATCATTGCCATAGCTTCCTAATCTATTGTTCTTGTATTATTATTATTATTATTATTATTATTACTACTACTACTACTACTACTACTACTACTACTAGCCGTCCCCTGCCAGGTGTTGCTGTGGCCCAGTCTGGTGATCAGGAAAATAACGTAATGAGAAAGTGTTGGTTTCTAATATATTTGATTTCTTTATGCTTGTGGGTAAACAGTATTTGATTACATTTTCTTGCGCTGGTGAAGTGAGTTGGACTGGATGGCCTTAAGTATTTTCTGTTGGTCATGAGGGTTCTGTGTGGGAAGTTTGCCCCAATTCTCTCGTTCATCGGGTTCAGAATGCTCTTTGATTGTAGGTGAACTATAAATCCCAGTAACCACAACTCCCAAATGTCAAGGTCTATTTCCCCCAAGCTCCATCTGTGTTCCTAGTTGGGCATATGGAATATTTGTGTCAAGCCCACAGTGCTCTCTGGATATAGGTGAACTACAACTCCCAAACTCAACATCAATGCCCACCAAACCCCTCTGGTTTTTTCTGTTGGCCATGGGTGTCCTGTGTGCCATGTTTGGTTCAATTCCATTGTTGGTGGAGTTCAAAATGCCCTTTGATTATAGGTTAACTATAAATCCCAGCAACTACAACTCCCAAATGACAAACTCAATTTTTTTGAGTGATGGTCACTCCTTGGACTAATAGGTATCTTGGGGCCAAAATTGGGGGCAATTCGTCCAGTAGTTTTTGAGTTATGTTAATCCCACAAACGAACATTACATTTTTATTTATATAGATTATTATTAGAATTATAATTGTTGTTATTATTAGAACTACAACTACCTATGCCCAATTTTCACCTCCCAAATTAAACTCAAAGCAGAAACTATTGGTATCATTGGCACAGCTTCCAAATCTGTTGTTGTTGTTGTTGTTGTTGTTGCTAGTTCTTGAATTCAGTTGTATATTACTGACCAAAGAAAAGGTGGAATCCCCCCATCATGGATCATAACCCTTGAGTGTGTCTACACTTGAGAATGAATGCAAGGCTCATGAAAGTTGTAGTTCATTTAGGAAGAATCATTCTTTGACAGAGATAGCTTACAGATCTTGTAAAACTACAACTCCCAGGATTCCATAGCATTGATCCAAAGCAATTCAGCAGAGTGTCGGGTCGCATTCATTCTACAGTGTAGATCAGGCATGGGAAAACTTGAGCTCTCCATGTGTTTTGGACTCCAACTCCCACAATTCCTAACAGCCTACTGAGGACAGACTCCAACTGATCTGAGTCCAGCAGGGAGTTCCACAGTTCCTGGAAACATGGACTTTCAAGATAACAAAAGGACCGTAGCTCCAGCAGCAGCCTCAATACAGAGACCTTTCTTCTTGTCTACTAACTTCCCCCTGCTTCAATGTAACAATCCCCCAATAAAAAGTATCATTTTCTCTAACAGAGAGTAATACATTGTGTCCCTTTACTGACTTTAACACCAATTAATATGAATCTTCCTCTTTCTGAGCTGCAGAATTCCCCTGGCTCACCCAGGATGCTCTTACAGCATCCTGGGGGAGGCCGAAACTGCGATCCTCCAAACCGCAGATACGGAAAACCGACCTGGTCCCGATATCCACGAGTTGACTGATCCACTCTGCTGGCTCATGCGGGACGCTCTTACAGCGTCCTGGGGAGGCCGAAACTGCAATCCTTCAAACCGCGGATACGGAAAACCGACCTGGTCCCGATATCCGCGAGTTGACTGATCCACTCTGCTGGCTCATGCGGGACGCTCTTACAGCGTCCTGGGGAGGCCGAAACTGCGATCCTTCAAACCGCGGATACGGAAAACCGACCTGGTCCCGATATCCGCGAGTTGACTGATCAACTCTGCTGGCTCTTGCGGGACGCTCTTACAGCGTCCTGGGGAGGCCGAAACTGCGATCCTTCAAACCACGGATACGGAAAACCGACCTGGTCCCGATATCCGCGAGTTGACTGATCAACTCTGCTGGCTCTTGCGGGACGCTCTTACAGCGTCCTGGGGAGGCCGAAACTGCGATCCTTCAAACCGCGGATACGGAAAACCGACCTGGTCCCGATATCCGCGAGTTGACTGATCAACTCTGCTGGCTCATGCGGGACGCTCTTACAGCGTCCTGGGGAGGCCGAAACTGCGATCCTTCAAACCGCGGATATGGAAAACCGACCTGGTCCCGATATCCGCGAGTTGACAGATCAACTCTGCTGGCTCTTGCGGGACGCTCTTACAGCGTCCTGGGGAGGCCGAAACTGCGATCCTTCAAACCGCGGATACGGAAAACCGACCTGGTCCCGATATCCGCGAGTTGACTGATCAACTCTGCTGGCTCTTGCGGGACGCTCTTACAGCGTCCTGGGGAGGCCGAAACTGCGATCCTTCAAACCGCGGATACGGAAAACCGACCTGGTCCCGATATCCGCGAGTTGACTGATCAACTCTGCTGGCTCTTGCGGGACGCTCTTACAGCGTCCTGGGGAGGCCGAAACTGCGATCCTTCAAACCGCGGATACGGAAAGCCGACCTGGTCCCGATATCCGCGAGTTGACTGATCCACTCTGCTGGCTCATGCGGGACGCTCTTACAGCGTCCTGGGGAGGCTGAAACTGTGATCCTTCAAACCGCAGATACGGAAAACCGACCTGGTCCCTGTATCCGCGAGTTGGCCGATCAACTCCAAGTTGGTGCTCCAACCAATCAGTAGAAAGCTGACCCAGGAGGCGGGCGCAGGAGATTTGAATTTGACAGTTCTATAAATGTATTTCTCGGCCCAGTGAACATGTTGGGTCCTTGAACAGAGAACTGCGGTCATCATCCCTTCCAGCTGGAATGAAATAAGACCTCAGTGGCTTTCCTTCAACTTGGTGAGACTTTATTTTGGGAAATTTAGGGAAAAATCTTTCTTGGAGCTTCCCGTCTCGCCAGGTGTTCCGGATCCTCCTTGTGGGTCTGGCCGGCCTCTGCTAAGCAGGGCCTCCCAAATTCGTGTTCGGCATCACTACTGGCTGTTAGGAATTGAGGGAGTTGAAGTCCAAAACACCTGGAGGGCCCAAGTTTGCCCATGCCTGGTATAGATGATCCCCAGCTCTTAAATCAGTGAAAGACTGCATGAGCTTCAAAAGGCAAGCTCTGTCTGTACATGCGCACGGGGATTACTTTAAGTCTGCAAAACATTTTAGGAGGACAAATGCAAGGATGCAGAGGGAATCCCCCAGAGCAGGAGCGCAAGCCGTGCCAGGAATGCAAGCCAAACTTTGGAGAGACAGAGAGAGAGAGACAGGCTCCTAGGGAAACATTCGACATATAAGGCTTCTTTGCGGCTTCTGTTAAGGTAAACTTTGGAGAGGCGCATTAAGCCTTGCCGACAAAGGGGAACGTAGTTCAGCTCTGGCCACAAAGTCTTGCCAAGGATGCAAGCACAGATCTCTCCATCTTTCCTTTCCCTCTCCGCTAATTTTTGGGGACTATAAATCCCACAATCCTCAAATTATTATTATTATTATTATTATTATTATTATTATTATTATTTATTTGTACCCCGCTAGCATCAAACACAATACAACAATACAATACCTAGAGCAAATTAAAAACAGATTAAGCAAATTAAAAACAGATTAAGTAAACAACAGCAATAACAATACATTGAGACATCAAGACACTATAAAAACTGTGCCAGGCCGGGGTAGTGGGTACAGGATTAAAAGTGCTGATGTGGCAGGAGGTATGTAGGATGATAAAATAAGTGCAGTGTGCGTTGTGCAGTGATCTTAATTCTACGAAAGTGCTTCTAGGACTTGGTATTGGGAGATTTCCTAATCAGGGAAGGCACATCGGAACAGCCAGGTCTTCAAGTTCTTTCTGAAGACTGCCAATGTAGGGGCCTGTCTAAGATCTTTGGGGAGGGTGTTCCAGAGTCGGGGGGCCACCGAAAAGGCCCTGTCTCGTGTCCCCACCAAACGCGCTTGCGACGCAGGCGGGATCACGAGCAGGGCCTCTCCAGATGACCGGAGTGAGCGTGTGGGTTCGTAGACAGAGATGCGGTCACGCAGGTAGGGTGGTCCCAAACCGTTCAGGGCTTTGTAGGTAAGCACCTGCACCTTAAATTGGGCTCGGAAAATAAACGGCAGCCAGTGGAGCTCCTTGAACAGGAGGGTTGACCTCTCTCTGTAAGGGGCCCCAGTTAACATCCCGGCCGCCGCCCGTTGGACCAGTTGGAATTTCCGAGCCATTTTAAGGGCAGCCCCACGTAGAGCGCATTACAGTAGCAATCTAGAGGTGACCAAGGCATGGACCACCCCGGCCAGATCAGCCTTCGCGAGGTACGGTCGCAGTTGGCACACGAGTCTTAGTTTGCAAAAGCCCTCCCGGACACCGCCGACGCCTGAGCCTCAAGCGTGAGCGATGAGTCCAAGAGGACTCCCAAACTGCGGATTCTCAGACAAGCCACTATTCTAAGCACCAATGTGAAGGAGCTCTAACGTTTTCAAATTGGTGCGAATTATATAGAGTTGCCACATTGAAAACTGGAGAGGATTTTTTCGTGCAGCCAGGTAACAAGCGTCACCTGTCGCAATTATTCCTTTTCCAATAT